AGGTGCTGCTCTTTTTTTCCCCTTTTTTCAAAAAAAAAAAAAAAAAAAAAAAATCAGGATATTGAAATGAAAACAGAAATATAGACTCACAGAATGTGTTGGGTTGGAAGGGACCATTTAAAGGCTCTCTAAAGGCCATCTAGTCCAACCCCAAAATGGGCCAGATCTTAAAGGTATGATCTGAGCATAGTTTCACATGCTCCATCTGTTTATTCTACACATTTCAAATGTTTGAGAAAAGCCTTCTCACACTCCACCATACATAGACACTGTAGAAACTGATGTGCTTTAGGATTTTGAGGGTCAAGATGAACTCAACACCAAACCAGTCCCAGGCTGCCTTCTGGGAACACCTGAGCTGGACCTGCCGGACCCTTTCCATTACAGGCTGAAACACAAGGTCCCCAGCACAGCCTGGGCATACAGTCAGGTCTGAACTACAAAACAGAGATACAGTGCTCTCATTTTGGGATGAATCTGGATGTGAACTTTACTGCTTGTATTTTGCCCTCTCTTATTCTGCAGGGCCAGGCACCTGCTGTCCAACAGCGACCAAAAAGAAGTGTGGCAGAAGGCAAAGCATCACCTACAGAAAACTGCAATAAATCCTCCTCAGAAAATTTCAGCTTTTCTTTGAAAACTGTGGGATTTAGTTTGCTGGTAACTACAATTTTCTGACAACTTCATGGACATTTTTCATTGGAAACCTATTCTTCTATTGAATATATATGACAAATCACTATGCTACTCATGTAATCCTATGCTATGCTAGTCCTGTAATTCCACCATTCATATAATGAGCCAATATTATGCACAGTAACCAGAGCTGATCAATTCATTCATATTTATACATCTCAAGGGCAGCTTCCTCTGTAAGCCATTTACAACACCAAATAAAGTGAATCAGACACCTCAGTGAGTATTTCCTCATGCTAGGCAGTGACCTGCTGCTAGTAAGTTAGTTCCTGTCCTGTGAGTGGATCCATGCAAATAAAAAAAGCATGAAGTGTTGCTGGGATTTCAGTTTTATTTGGGTCTACTGCTAGTTTGGGATTAATTCCTGAGAACTCCATCTGTACAGACCTCTGATATCCAAAGACTGATTATAAGCATATGTTGGAGATTTCTGGGACAGATGAAAATCTGTCACTACAGGGCTCAGAGCTGATGCGGTTCTAGCTTGTCCAGCTGTGGGTCAGCTCATATAGGGCTTTATTTTGAGGTGTATTGCTCCACTCAATGCCCTTGCAGCACAATAATGTGCTTGAGAGACCAGTTATTTATCAGATACTATAGGGGAAAAACAGAACTTCCCTCTTCAGATTGTTATTCTGATATTTACAGAATACATATTTGGCATAGTTCAGACAGTTCTATATGGTGACTGTAAAATCTGGAAATTATTTTGCATATAATGAACAGTATTGTGTTTTCTCCTAAGCAGTTCCCTCACTGGGATAAACACAAGCCTGTGCTATCTTCCCTGCAGATGAGGACTGCAAATGAACTCTCACATGACAAACACCATTGCAGGTTACTTCCCCACCCCAGCATATTATTTCCAGAATCCATAATGATGACTAATTATTGCCCAGGAAAATAAACCACCAAAACAAACCCAAACTGATGATTCAGGGAGGAGTTCTAAACTGATCTTAGATTACAAGATATTTCAAAAGGAGTACTTCCAGAAGCTCCTGTTTTACGAGCACACACATGGATTCACTTCCTCTTCCAATGCCACACCAGGGCTCAACAATTGATTTTATCATTTAACTGTGAAGGAAGTGTGGTTCTGGAAGAGATGGCAATATTGCATGCAGACAGCTAAAGATAACAACACTGACATATTTTCTTTATGTATTATTGCTGTCTGCAGGCGCTCACACGCTTAACACACCATGTAGCAGTTTATTAGCTCATAAACCAGGCTCAGTCTTCTCTTTTTTTACCAGCTATCATCTGGTAATCTTAAAAAAAAATATGGAAAAAAAAGTCTGATGCCATATATCAGAGAACTTTAACTATGGCTTGCCATCGGTTATATGCTGGTTTATTGATCAGCCAAATGAGTGCCCAGATGAGGTAACTTTTTATTGATCAACATATCAGGTTCAGCTACAGATCAGAGTACGTCCTCCCACAAAAGCAATATTGGTATTATTTAAGATTCCCAAGGAGCAGTATTCTGCTTGCCATAAATCCTGCCAAAATGAACAGAGCTGTGGGAGAATGAAGAGAATGGTAACTTAAACCCTGGACTCAATGAGCTTGACAACTCCATGGGCTCCAGACACCCTGGGATTTCACTTCATGGGCACACATCTGCCTCTGATGTTGCATTCCAACAAGAATCTCTGATGATGAAGAGTTTAGATGGTCAGCAATAATTATTTTAAGGACAATTTTTTCCACCTCAAACTTTTTGTGCTAACTTCACAGAATGAAATAATTATACTCTCACCATAATCTGTGTTTTCGGGTTCCCAGCAGTTTGAAGGCCAAAAGTATGGTGCCTAAGAAACAACATAGACATTTACATATTTTTGTAATTTAAGAGATTAAAACCAATTCAGATGAAGAAAAACATTACAAAACATTGCAAGTACAAAAAGAAGAATCACAAAGTCTACAGCCCAGTCTCTGCCCTCAGGGGAGACACTGCTACAGATCTCAGTAAAAGTGGGGATGCTTTTCCAGGAAGGTATCACCTTTAACATTCCTCACTGTAGGTAAACAGAGATGCTGTAACACAAGCATCTCCTGAGGTACATGTCCAGTATCCTGATGACATTTTAGGCACTGTTGCCAGCCCATCTGACTGTGGGCTTCTTGCCCTCTATCCCCAGAGCCTCCTCTTTCCCCAGGAATTCACAGGGACCCTGAATTCTTCTGGGTTTTGCTTGTTTGTTTGTTTTTAAGGAGTGTGAGACACCTTATGGCCTTTTATATGTTATACGTCATTTGCTTTTTTTGGAGCAGCTATCAGTGTGGTTGGAAGCCTACAAAACAATTCATTTTTAAAATATAACAGATGACAGAGGTAAAAATTCAGCTGATTAGAGTTGTTCTGGAAGCAGAAGTCCTGCTAAGCTTACTGCTTTTGTTTTCCATCCAGGTCTGGATATTGCACTTGCTACAACTAATTACAAGATATTATTACATGTGACTGTATTTCAGTCTTAACAGGAATGAAAAATAGTGTCTCTGTGATCACACAAATTACAGAACACTGTTTTACATTACTGATGTAATGCCACAAATGGGCATTGGACATTACACAGAGACCACTCCTTACATCAAAGTACAGTGAGAAAACATGGAGGGATCAGACAATATAGGGCTCAGTGCTCTTCCCTAGATGTATCTTTTGAACTTCACAAGATGATGAGCTACTGTTAAAGGAGGGACTGACCTCAAGGTACAAAGTGGGAAGAAGAGAGTAACAGAAAAGAAACATTCTATCAGGTTATTTTAGCAGAAAATGGCTGAGGAGAACTGTTGCAGGAAGTAACAGGCAAAGAATAAGCACAAATCCCAGAACATAAGGGAAAGA